TCCATGGGCTCAGGCAATCCACTTGCCTTGGCCTCCCAAAGTGCTGGGATTACAGGCTGAGCCACAGAGCCCCGCCAGGATAACTCCTTATCTGTCAACATGTTTGGCAACATTGTGTTATCAAATTTGACAATATAATATAATATGAGATCCTGGAACAGTAAAAGACATCAGGTAAAACGGAGGCAATCTGAATAAACTATGGACTTTAGTTAATACTAATGGATCAATACTGATCCATTAATTGTAGCAAATGGACAACCCAATGTCAGATATTAAAAATAGGTGAAATTGGTTGTGGGGTATATAGTAACTCTCTGTACTACCTTCGCAATTTTCCTGTAACTCTAAAAACTGTTCTAAAAAATAAAGCCTATTACTTAGAAAACAAAAGAGGAGGTTTTGCTCTGATTTTGTAAAGCTCTCATTTGGAGTTCACAAAGCAGGTTGTAGAGCAGCACTTAACAAACTAAGTCATATCAGATCCCTAAAGAAAGAGTCATGGTCGTGGCAACTCAACTTCTGGCTCATGTCAGTACCAGGGGCTTAGGCATTGGAGGAAGGAGTGAGGGGGCTGGCCTAGGCCCTGGCTGCCTGCCATAGGCACTGCAAGTTTTTTTTTTCCTCTTTTGAGTTTGGGTCTCATTCTGTCATCCAGGTTGGAATGCAGTGGCATGATCATGGCTCACTGCAGCCTTGATCTCCTGAGCTCAGGGGATACTCTGTCTCAGCCATCCAGGATCTGGGACTACAGGTGTATGCCACCACACTTGCTATTTTTTTTTTTGGTAGAGATAGGGGTCTTGTATGTTGCCCAGTCTGGTCTCAAACTCTTGGGCTCAAGCAATCCTCCTGCCTTGGCCTCCCAAAATGCTGGGATTATAGGCATGAGCACTAAGCCTGGCCTGCAAGTTCTTATCTGGCTTTAGTATCCACTGCTATGAGCTACCAGAGGAGGTGACATGTCTGGATGTGACCTTGTCCCAAGATCACCATCCAAATAGTATTATTCTACCTGGGCTGCTTCAAGTATGGCTTTGCGATTAAGCAGGAGCCCTGGGCTCACTGCATCTCCACTGCCTCACTTTTATGGGATGAGAATAGGCAGTCCCTGCCTACCGTGATGTTGCCCTCACAATTTGACAAGTCTATCAACTTAGCCAGGCGTTTATTTAGTGCTTTCTGGCACAAAGGCAGGAGTCAATGTCAGCTCACAGCATCCCCTGATCCGATTCCTCTGTGGCCTCCAGTGACAAGAGTACAGCTGCTTTTCATTCCTGTATGAATGGGGTGGCCACAATATAAATCAATAACCTGAAGAATGCCAATAATCTTTTTTTTTTTTTTGAGTTGGAGTCTTACTCTGTCGCCCAGACTTGGAGTGCAGTGGCCACTCCCGGTCACCGCAGCCCCGACCTGCTGGGCTCCAGCAATCCTTCCACCTCAGCCTTCCTAGTAGTTGGAACTACAGACATGCACTACCACGCCCGGCTAATTTTTGATTTATTGTAGAGATGAGGTCTCGCCAAGTTGCCTAGGCGGGTCTCAAACCCGCGGGCTCAGGCAATCCACTCACCTCAGCCTCCCAAAGGTGCGGGATTACAGGCTGAGCCACCGAGCCCGGCTGAATGCCAATAATCTTGAGGGAAAGCCGAGTTCAGACCTGCTATCCATTATCAGTATTTGCACTTCAATGATGCCATCAGTGTTCTTCAAATTTACCCCAGAAGTGATCCCACATGTGGAGGTTATTCATCAGAACCTCCTTGTAACAGCAAGAGACTGGAAACAACTGGAATTTCCCTTAAAAAGGAACGGGTCTAAACCAGGTTTTCTTTTTTTTTTTTTGAGTTGGAGTCTCACTCCCAGGCTGGAGTGTTCATGGCCACCTCAGCCTTGACCTGCTGGGTTCAGGCAATCCTTCTGCCTCAGCCTTCCAAGTAGTGTGGTGGCTCACACCTATAATCCCAGCACTTTAGGAGGCACAGCCTGAGGCCACCGGTTTGAGACCAGCCTGGGCAACTTGGCGAGACCTCATCTCACAATAAATCAAAAAATTAGCCAGGCGTGGTGATGTGTGCCTGTAGTTCCAGTTACTTGGAAGGCTGAGGTAGAAGGATCACCTAAGCCAAGCAGGTCGAGGCTGCGGTGGCCATGACCGTTCCACTGCACTCTAGCGTGGGCGATAAAGTGAGACTTCAACTCCAAAAAAAAGAAACTGGTCTAATAAGTAGACTATTAATACGTGTGTGTGTTTGTATGTATATGTGCTCTGCTGCTGTATGGGTGTATACACATATCTCTCTGGAAGAATTACACAAGAAATTGGTATCATTGGTGACCTCTGGGGAAAGGACATCGGAAGCACTTTTCACTGCAGAAACTTTGGTATAAAAAAATAAATTAACTGGACATGGTGGTACACACCTCTAGTCCCAGCTACACAGGAGGCTGGGGAGGGAGAATAGCTTGAGCCCGGGAGTTCAAGGTTGCGGTGAGGTGTGATTGTGCCACTGCACTCTAGCTTCAGCGACAATGAGACTCCGACTCAAAAAAAAAGAAAAGAAAGAGCAACAATGACTACAATGACTAACTTATTTGGCACAGCTAAGCCTTGTGTGGTAAGTGAGCTATATATGGTTTTTTTCTTTTCTTTTCTTTTCTTTTTTTTTTTTTTTTTTGAGTTGGAGTCTCACTCTGTTGCCAGGTTGAAGTGCAGTGGCACGCTCATGGCCACCACAGCCTCAACCAGCTAAGCTCAGATAATCTTTTCACCTCAGTCTCCTGCGTAGCTGGGGCTACAGGCATGTACCACCATGTCTGGATAATTTTTAAAAATTTTTTTATTTTAAAGTTGTGGGGTACAATTCAGGGTTTTTGATTTTTGTAGAGATGAGGTCTCACTATATAGCCCAGGCTGGTCTCAAACTCCTGGTCTCAGACAGTCCTCCCACCTCTGCCTCCCAAAGTGCTGGGATTACCAGCATGAGTCATCATACCCGGCCATTTTAATCTTTTTTTTTTTTTCTGAGTTGGAGTCTCATTCCCAGGCTGAAGTGCTCATGGCCACCGCAGCCTTGACCTGCTGGGCTTAGGCAATCCTTCTGCCTCAGCTTTCCAAGTAGCTAAAACTACAGGTACGTGCTACCACACCCAGTTAATTTTTTTTATTACCTATTGTAGAGACGAGGTCTCGCCATGTTGCCCAGACTGGTATTGAACCCATAGGTTCAGGCAATCTTCTTGCCTCAGCCTCCAAAGTGCTGGGATAACAGGCTTGAGCCACCACATCTGGCCATTTTAAACATTTTTGACTATACTGTTCAGTGGCATTAAGTACATTTGCATTGTTAAATACCCAGTTACCACCATTCATCTCCAGAACTTCATCTGCCAAAACTGACTATCCATTTGTTTTTAGTTTTTCTGTTATGTCATATTGGGAGCCTACTGTGTGTCATGCAGTGTCCTGGGCTAGACTTCAGGATGAGGGACAGCAGTAAGGAGCAATGACAGACCCTCTCCCTGTGAGGGCCCAGGCTAGACCTTCCTGGGCAACAGGGTGAGATCTTGACTCAAAAAAAAAAAAAAGAAGGTAAAAAATGGTCAATTTCACAGTATGTCTATTTTCCCACAATGAAAATAAATGCAGGGATGAGGTCCAATCCCTCCTTCACCTGCTCTCTTAATTCTCCTCCTAATGCCCTGACCACTCCTCAGCCGTCTTCTTTATCAGATCCTGTTCTCCAAATGGGGAAAGGGTCCCTAACTCCCTTCTGGGTTGTCTCCAGCCTCTATGCTGCCTTTCCAGCTGATATCACCAGGCCCTTGGCTTTTATTCCAGCTGTATCCCAGCACTGCCCACTGCTGTGGGCCTCCAGCCCAGGTGGCCCCCCAATCCCTTGCAGCCTGCTCAACATCTCTATCTGGAGCCCTGACAGGTACCTCACAAAGCAGTCACAACAGAGGCCCCCTCCCTCGGACCTGCTCCTCCCTTGTCTCCCCACCTCTGCCAACAGTCATTTCCCCAAACATTCAGGTCTAAAATCTAGGTGGGCCATGTGAATTCCATCGCACCCCGCCCCAACCTCCAGCCCACTAGCACACCCCACGGCTCTCCCTCCAAAGCATCCCCTGCTCCCGCCCTCTGCCCTGTTCCTCACAGCCATGGCGTCACTCAGTCACTCATTTCCTGCCTGGACTGCTTCAGTGTTCCAGGCCTGCCCTCCTACCTACCCATTCTCCTCACAGCAGCCAGAGCAGTGATCCTAAAAGCAACTCTGATCAGCATCCCCCTGATTCAAACTTTCCAAAACCCGTCAGTGCTTTGGGGTCCCGTCCACTTTCCTCATCCTTGGTCACACTGCCCCAAGCCATTGGCTCCCGTCTGCCCACCTGCCCCTCATGCTGGACAGCAGGTCCCTCCTTGTTCGCCAGCCGACGTCTCTCCTCCTGAACTCCACAAAGCCATGTCTTCTCATTGCCAGCTCGGCCTACATGTCACCTCCTCCAAAAGGCCTTCCTAGCCCCAACGCCTGACTTGGCCCTCGTCACATCCTCTCATCTCTCCCTATACCTTCACTGCCACAGCCACATGGGCGAGGCCCAGGTCTGTCCTGCTCATTGCCGACTTCCTGGCTCAGAGGGGCTGTGCAGCAGTGAGGCGTGAACGACCACATTAATGGACACTGCTGCCTCACAATGAAGTTGTCTTTTGGAAATCCGCCAACAAACAGAGTGGCAGGAACAGGTGAAACCTGTGAGGGCAAGGTGGAGTGACAGAACCCCTGCAGTTTGCTGGGGACAGGAGGTGGTCTAACTGAATGGTGGCCATGGCCATTGCTCCCCTCGACTCAGGGCCGACAGCAAAGATGTAGCCCACTTGTATGCAGGAAGTTTGACCTTCAGAGATAGGGTCAACCTTTCACTGGTGTCCCACCACAGGTTGCGTGGTGTGAAAACAGTCCTGCAACCTGCCCTGAAGAAGGGGAGGAAAACCATTTGAAAGTCACAAAAATATATTAAAACAGCCATTGTCTTCACTCTTGGTACGTGTCTCCCTTCCCAGTGCCCGTTACCCACCACCCACCACCCACCACAGACTTTCAGAGAAAAAGACACCCAGCGCTGGAAAACGGAGGTGCCCTGGCCACAGCCCTGGGTCTGGGGAGGTCCCTCCAGCCTGGGAGCGAAGGGCGGCTAACAGTCTCTACAGGCTCGACGCCACCGCCGACGAGGGGGCCGCTGGGAGGCCGGAGGTGCAGGAGGGTCGGGCAGGATGCAGCGGACAGTCGGGCCTTGCCACCGGGACAGAAAACAGAAGAGAAATGAACAGAGTGAAGAGAGGGAAAGAGAGAGACGTTAAAACAGTGGGGGAGGTACAGGTGACTGAGGGAAGATGGCGGGTGGGAAACAAGTGAGCCCCTCCAGACAAAACCCACTCTGTGGGTGGTGGGGAGACAGGGAGGCTGAGGAGTTGGGGTTTGAGGCAGCAGACACTGCTGAGAGGGAGGAAGGGGGAATGTAGAGAGGAAAAGGGCCCTCGGCACTTGGGAGAGGTAGAAAAGTGGATTCCGCCCAGGCCACAGCCAGAAATGGGAGCACAGATGACATGAGAGACGGGAGAGTCCCAGAGCGGGCAAGGTTGGGTGACAATGACCATCCCAGACTAGAAGAAATGGGGAGGATCCCAGAACACCTGAGGGAGACAAGCAGTGTCATACAGGAGCTGGCAGGGCGGAGTGACGGAGCCAGAAGCCTGGAGGGGACTGGGGCAGACACACATGGGTCTGTGGCCTGCACCTGCCCCACATGTGGGCTAGAAGGTCCTGCGGCCCAGTCTTTTGAACACGCTCACAGTGCCTGCGTGGTCCATCTGGGCACCAAGGCCCTCGCTGGAGCTGCTCCCCCGGGACCCCACCAGAGTCCTTTTAATGGTGACCTTGACCTCAGCCGAGGACTTACTCTTGGTGCTCGTGACCTGGCTGTCTTGGGCCTCGGGCACAAGGGCGGTCTTGCCCAGTCTCTGGATGATGCTGACTTTAGACAGGGTCTCTGGTTTCCTATCCATCCCAGGGCGTGAAAGAGCCAGGCGTCGCAGTGTCGGGGTGGTGGCTGTTGTTGCTGAGCTTGTGGCCTTGGCTTTGACAGTCAGTGTCGGCTGGGGACTGGCCTTGGCTGGGCCCCGTCCTAACTTCTTCAGAACCCCAGCATACTGCAAAACAGAGCTGCTGCTGTCATTGTCACTGTCCCAAGCCAGGTCCTCATCCATCTCTGGGGTGGCCCCAAGGCGGCTGAAGACTCCTGTGGGCTGTGGAAGTCACAGACAGAATAAGTCATTTAGTTTCTCAACACATACTCATGGTGCCTCCTCTGTGCCTGGGTCTCCTGGGTCTCACAGTTGACAGGAATACCCATCAGTGACCCCCTAGATAGTGGTGACAGCCATGATGGGGAGAGTCCAGGGAACAGGGGAGCCCAGAGGAAGCACCTGACCTTGCCTGGAAATCCAGGGAAGGTTCCCTGGGAGAGGAATTTCTGGACTGAGACCTGAAAGTCAAATGGGAGTAGATGTGACAAAGAAGGAGATGAACAGCCAAGCACAGTGGTTGATGCCTGTAGTCCTAGCACTTTGGGAGGCCAAGGCGAGAGGACTGCCTGAGCCGAGACCAGCCTGGGCAACATAGCAAGACCTCATCTCTACCAAAAATCAAAAATTAGCCAGGCACGGTAGTACACGCCTGTAGTCCCAGCTACTTGGAAAACTGAGGCAGGAGGATGGACAGAGCCCAGGAGGTCAAGGCTGTGGTGAGCCATGATCATGCCACTGCACTCCAGGCTGGGTGACACAGTGAGACCCTGACACATTGGAGGTGAGATGTGGAGGCATCAGGAAGACACATAGGAAGACAAGAGTCTGAGCCCAGAGTTGTTCCCCCATAACCAACTCACTTTAGTCCCTGTTGTCGTGTCTGCCTTGGTCTCAGCACCGAGGCGGTCAAACACGGACGTCCTGTGGAGACCTGGGAGGGAAGGGTGCTGGGTCAGGCACCATAGATACCAAGATATACTAAGATACCAAGATATCTTAGATACCAAGAGAGAGACAACACACTAGCCCAGACACTGTCAGCTCTGGTACAGCAAGCCCAGACTGCTGAGTCAGGTGTTATGTCCACAATGTTGGCTCACACTGACCTCAACCCACTCACATCTGGCTAGGGTCAAATGTGGGAAAGACCAACTGCAACTGACACTCACATTCCTTGTACCTTAGTAAAAATTCGTAAAATGTGTGCATGAGAAAAGCTCTTAATTCCTATTCATCCAGTTTACTTCTTGGGGTCAGAGGCCTCTGAGAGAATCTGACGAATGGTAGTAAGTCCTCTCCCCAAATTTTAACCTAATGTCCTTCAGTAGAAGAATGTTACTAAATTATGGTACATTAATACTATGGAAAATAATAAAAGTCCATTAAAGAAAGAATGAAGTAACCAGTCACAGTGGCTCATACCTGTAGTCCCAGCACTTTGGGAAGAAGAGGAGAGAGGACTGCCTGAGCCCAGGAGTTGGAGACCAGCCTGGACAACTTGGCAAGACCTCATCTCTACAATAAATAAAAAAATTAGCTGGGCATGGTGGTGTGCACCTGTAGTCCCAGCTGCTTGGAAGGCTGAAGCGAAAGGATCACCTGAGCCTAGCAAGTCGAGACTACAGTAGCCGTGAGTATACCACTGCCCTCCAGCCTGAGTAGCAGAGTGAAACCCCAACTCAAAAAAAAGAATTAAGTAGATGTCCATGCACTAATGTGAAAAGCTGTCAATAATAAAGCTGTATAGACCAATACCTCAGGATGATGCTATCTATGATTTAGAAAGAAAAGCTGCTGACATATGGGCATATATACATACACAGATACTGATCTAGAAAGATGAATGACTGATGGTGGAGACTGGAGAGGAAAGAGGCTGTTTTTATTGCATATGTTTCAGCAGCATCTCATGATTTTTCCATGAGAACATAGACAGATAGTCCCCGTCCTGTGATGTCTTGACTTCTAATTTTTTTTACTTCCGTACAGTGTAAAAGCAACACACATTCAGTAGAAACATGCTTTGAATGTTGAATCTTGATCTTTCCTGGGCTAGCAATACTCGGTACAATACAGTACTCCCTCGTGATGCTGGGAAGCTCCTGTCAGCCCACTATTGTGAGGCAGAAAACTGATACTGCAGTGTACTGTGCTACTGGGTGACATGTTCATCTATAGCTAATGAAAGTGTTCTAGGCTGGGCACGGTGGCTCACGCCTATAATCCCAACACTTTGGGAGGCCGAGGTGAGAGGATTGCCTGAGCCCATGGGTTCAAGACCAGCCTGGGCAAGTTGGTGAGACCTCCATTTCCACAAGAAATAAATAAATAAATAAGTCGGGCATGGTGGCATGTGCCTGTAGGTCCAGAACTTGGAAGGCTGAGGTAGAAGGATCGCCTGAGCCCAGCAGGTTGAGGCTGCAGTAGCCAGGAGCATGCTGCCTTCCAGCCCAGATGACAGAGACTCCTACTAAAAAAAAAAAAAAAAGCTCTATAAAAACAACGTGTTCTGAGCATGTGTGAGGTGGTCTAAGCTAAGATATTCAGTAGGTTACGTGTAGTAAATGCATTTTCCACTTAAGGGTATGTTGAACTTACAATGGGTTTATTGGAATATAACCCATCTTAAGTTGAGAAGCATCTGTCCAATATTTGAAAAAGATCCTGTCATAAGGAAGACCATCTCTGTACTCCTAGTTACAAGCCCTAGCTTTCAACTACTCTCCCTAGTATCCTCTGGCTAATAACAGTAGTGACACCTGTCGTTGGCCAGGCATGGCCACTCACTTACAGGCAGACCACTGCTGAATCCTTCCCCGCCCCTCAGGAAAAGAGGCACCAAGTCAGCTACACTAACTGCAGGATGAGAGAGCAGAGGTGATGCACCTCCTCCTCTGTGGCCACCATTGCTGTACCCTTGGCCTAGACCCCCTGGGTCCCCTGTTGGAGCCTGCTTCTCAGCCATGGCCTGGAGGACATGGCTGGCCCCGTGTGGTACAGCACTGGTAAGCCCAATCTCCACACTGAAGCCCATGATGGCCATACCTTTTGCCGCCTGCTGCTGCTCCAGAATCTTGCGGGTCCGGGGGGTTGTGCCTTTGGGCATGTTGATGATGTATTTTCCCTCCATCTCAGCAGTGACCCGGCGCCGTTTGGCAGGAATAGCCAGGCTCTCCTCCTCCCGGCGGGCCAGGGCTGCTGGGGGAGGTGATAAGAGGGGTCAGCACCTTCTGGGATGCAATGTTCTCCTGGGGTGGGGACTGGACGCCAGGCGAAGGCACACACAGGTGTCATTTATCTCTAAGCATCTGCAGGATTGGAATCTCTTATCTTCCAAACTATCCTCATCACCACTGACTAAAAAACAGAAACTCAGAGATCTCAATGGCGTGAGGTCACAGAAGGTGCTCAGAATCCCCAGGCTGTGGCAGGCATCTCAGGCTCTCTGAGGCTCTGTCCCAAGCAGGCTCACCCCCTGCCCAGCCTACATACCCCAGAGGAGGAACCTGCTGAGTGGTGGAAAAGTTCGAGAACTCCAACCGGGTAGGGTGGCTCCCACTTCTTAAGTAATCAAGCTACACACTAACAAGTCGTGCATTGTGCATAAGTAAATTATACCTCAATTTTCAAAAAACCCTCAAATATGTGGAGGGGTAAAAGAGCAAGTCACTCCCAGGCGCACCATCATTTCAGTATTTTATACACTAATTTTAACTTTCTTGCTTGTGGCACACAAATCAAAGGCCAGAAGGGAGTGAGGCACTTTCAACATGCAGGACAAAGGGGAGACCGCAGTGAAGGTAGATAGGCCATGACGGGAGTGGACATCAGAAACATGAAGCTCTTAGGACCTCAGTTTCCACACATGCCTTACAACACCATTAGGTTGGTGTTATAGGGACCAAGGCACAGAGCATGGGGAGAGGAGGGCTTGGGAGTCCAGAGTCTGGAGGTCTATTCCCAGTTTTCAGGCTGAGACGGAGGAACAGACATCAACCACGGAAGAATCTGTGGAGGAAGCGGCTCCAGGCAAAAGGAACACGAGGGGTAAAGGCCCCATGATGGGAAGGAGGCTGGAGGGAAGCTGAGCCAGCAACAAGGAGAGATGCAAGAGATGAATCCACATTACAGGACCCTAGAGGCCATGTGGGGAAGACTGGGCTTTATCACTAGAGTAACAGATCATCAGACGGAAGGTCTTTTTTATTTTTATTTTTTTCTGAGTTGGAGTCTCACTCTGTCGCCCAGACTGGAGTGCAGTGGCTGCTCCCAGCCACCGCAGCCTCGACCTGCTGGGCTCCGGGGATCCTTCCACCTCAGCCTTCCATGTAGCTGGAATTACAGGTGCGCGCTACCACGCCCGGCTAATTTTTGATTTATTGTAGAGATGAGGTCTCACCAAGTTGCCCAGGTGGGTCTCGAACCCACGGGCTCAG